AGAAGCAAAGGGCATAAAATCACAGATCTAAAAGATAAAAGGATCCTTTGAGATTGATTATCCAACAGCTTCACTTTATAGTTAAGGAAACAGACCCAGGTGGTTTAAATGATTTGCCTGAGGTTACACAGGTAGTAAGTTATATCAGCACTGTGCCTGGCACATCATAATAAATGCTAGATGGTTGATTTTAGCTGTTGTTTTCCTGTACAATAAACAAAAATATATCTTATCAAACCTAGATCTACCAATCAATTCATTAAGAAGCACTTTTAAAGCACCTATTACATGCCAGGGCCTGTGCTATGTGGTGAAGATACAAATACAAGTAATGAAACAAGCCTTACTCTCAAAAGAGTTGACATTCTAATGGGCAGGGAGACAGTACATATATAAGCCTATATAGAATAAAGAAAATAAATTCAAGATTGTTAGGGAGGAGAGCACTTGCTGTTAAGGGAAATTGGGAAAGGTTTCATAAAGAAGATGGTATTGTATTTGAGCTGCTTCCTAAAGTAATTCTGTTGGGTAGAGATGAGGAGGGAGTAGATTCCAGGCATGGGGGATGGCCAGTGCAAAGTCATGGAGATGGGAGATGGGAATGAGCTATGAGGAACAGAGAGGTCAATTTAGCTGGATCAAAGACTGCAGACAGGACAGCAATGTATAATAAGGCTGGAAAGACAGGTTGTAGACAGGTTGTAAAGGGTTTTAAAAGCTAAACAGAGGAGTTTATCTTTTATCCTAGAAGCAATAGGAAGCCACTGCAATTCACTGAGTTCAGGAGGTCAGATCTTCATCTAAGGAAAATCAACTTTGGCAACTGTGTGGAGGATGGGCTGGCCAAGGGAGAGACTGGAGGCAGGGAGAGAGATGGTGAAGAGGTAGAAATGACAAGATGTGGTAAGTGCATATTTGGGTGGGGGGAACAAGTTGTCAAGGACAAAACTTAGGTTATGAACCTGGGAAACTAGAAGAATGATAGTGCCTCTGACAGAAAGGAAAGTTTGGAAGAGGGGAGAGGAAGATGAGTTCTGTTTCTTGGACATGTGGAATTTGAAATGTCCATAGGACATCTGATTTAAAATGTCCATCTGGCAACTGGTGGTAGGGGACTGGGGCTGGATAGAGAAATCTGTTAAGTCATCTGCACAGAGACAGTAACTAAGCCCATCTGGAGCTGGAAGCTCAAAAGCCATCTAGTCTAACTCCTTCATTTTATGGATGGGGAGTAAGCATCAGAGGCAGGATCTGAACCCAGATCTCCTGACTCCACAATCACCGCTCTTTATACTGTGAAAAATTTTGAAAGTGGAATTCAGGAAAGAAGCAAAAGATTCTACTTCAGTCAATCACTTCTGCAACTTTTACAGCTGCCCTCTTGTCATCTTCATTTTCATCCTGTGTGACAACTTCAAAGCCAGCAGCTTTTACTTCCTAGGGGGTTGAAGAGTCTAGGAAATTCTGTGAATACTCATTGGAATGAACTGAGTAGGAAGTGTAGGTATACTTTAAATGTTAACCATTATAATTGTTGAAGAGGAAAAAAGCTTTGTCCCTTAAGAGGTAAATTCTTATTAAAAGCACAAAGTCCCCAAACAAGCACAAAACCAAAGGCTAATCACTGGACTACACAGCAGGACAAGTGACAGCTCCTTCTAGGTTCATAGGAGATGACGAAAATCAGAGCCAAAAAACGGCATTCATTCTCTGAAATACAGGTAACTTTCATTCAGGCATGGTAGAAGCCAATGAGGAGTTAAAGACGATGATGTCTTGTAAAAAAAAAAGAAGAGACAGATTGAGTCCAGATGAGTTGTTCATTAGTAAGAAGTGTCAAAAAATATCTGATTTCAGGACCTGGATTATTAATTTCTCTAGGAGAATTCAAAGCTTTGCTAATATAAACGATTAAGACAGCATCATATTGTATTGCATTAAAACAAAATTTAATGGAAAGGAAAAAGCACAGATGGATCTAAAATGGGAGATAATGACTAGTTTAACCTATTTCTAATGAGAGGCCCATCACCTCTGAATCCTACTAGAGTAACACAAACATTCAGAATGATGGATGAGACAAAGAATTCTAACCAAGAGAAGTTACCAAGCCTAGACATTGCTTATACCCTGATTCCAATGATCACTAATGGGTCAATGGACAGAAACCACATTTAAGCCCATGTTAGACTAATGCCTAGGATTGCAACTCTTACATCATGTTGGTGACAACTACTTAAGTCTAAGGTGGTTGGCAATGGGTATTCTATGGTTCCATCAATTCCACTACAAGAAAAAGGAGTTAACTAATTTTTCTTCTTATATACAGGCCTGAGTGATAAACTTCATGACTTTCAACCTCCATTCTATCACTGTTCAAGTTGCTTAATTTCTATTTACTGAATCAGTGAATGGACAACAGATAAAACAGGTTAAATTTTCTTTGGTATAATATTACCATAAAACATCTATGGATGCCAGAATCATGTAAATGAAAATGACAGCTAGGATTTTAAAGAGCTAACCTGACCAGGCTCTACTTGTTTTAAAATTTAAAAAAAAAAAAAAAGGAAAGAGATTAAAACCAGAACTTGTCTAAGGAAAAAAAAAAATAAGAAGGAAAAAAAATTGTATGAGAGTTGGTGGTTTTCTTAAGGGAAGTGTCACTGACAGATTAAGGAGTATTACACGCAAGCAAAATGAGAAAGAATAAGAAGGTGTGGGGCAAGGCTTCAACTCAAATAAAGGAAAAATAATCATCCCCACAGTTGTGAGAGATAATTCATTTTTGGACCCCTACTCAAATTCTAATCAGTATTAATCAGTTCAGAGTGATTCCATAAGGGGTAATGATTATCAGAAATTATTTTATTAAGTGACACATTCATCTAATAATACATATTTAGTCATTCATCTAATAATAAGTATAAGAATAAATATATACTAATCCATATTTTACACAAATCATAAAGGAATAACTGGACAAAATAGACAAATCACATGGGAAAAATCAGACAAAATAGGAGAAGGCCTCTCTAACAGGCCTCATATTCACTACTTCTTTACCAGCCATAAAGCTTGAGTAACCATGAGAATGCTGACAAAGATATCTCCATCTTATTTTGCTCAAATTCCAAATGACCAAGCCAAGCACAGGTGGCGTAGTTAACAGAAAGTCCCTCGACTTGTTTCTGGTATCTATGTATGACTTGTACCATCTCCTCTTCCTCAATATGAGAAGGAACCCTTCCATCAGTGGAGATATTACATGCTTTACCCGACCTGGGACCCCTCTGCTGACATACCATTTCTAGCTGATGGACCATATTTGGCCCTCAAAGCAAGGTCTATCAACCAATGGATTTCTGTATTTTGTGTAGCCTCTCTAGAATGTTCAGGTATCAAACCCTATAAGAACAGGTCCTGGTGACCAGGGACATCTCAGACTGGGAGGAAGGTCTTCATTTAGACAAGGCCAGGTCCCTTTGGTAAAGTGCTATTGGTTTGGAGCTCTGCCTAAGTTTCTCTTTTTGTAGTCTGGGTGTTAATGTTCCCACATGGCAAAGAATTATCCAGTGAGAAGTCAGAAAGAACAGTGCCACTCCAGAGAAGTTAACTTGTAAAGGAAAAAGGCAGCCAGCCCACTGGACAATTTTAGATGCAAGGAGTTATTTCAACTCTCAGGGCCTAAGTTTCCTTAACTGTAAAATGGTAGTTTTTTCCTCCTTTAAGATAGATTAAGCTCTAAATTTATGATCCTATGATAAGAAGGATGGATTAAGAATTAGATAATAGTCATCTAAGAGGTTTAAAAAAAAAGGTATTCAGGGTAGTAGTGGATAGAGCACCAGCCCTGGAGTCAGGAGGACCTGAGTTCAAATCCAGCCTCAGACACATAACACTCACTAGCTGTGTGACCCTGGGCAAGTCACTTAACTCCAATTGCCTCACCCAAAAAACAAAAAAACAAAAACAAAAAAAAAAGAACTGAAGGTCAAGTGGAAAAAGTTTAAGAAGCCCTGAAAGAACAACTCTCACTCACTACACCAGAAGTGTCAAACTCCCCAGTACAGCCCCAGCCAGATTAAAATGCAATTGGCAAATGTTTAACAAAATAAATAAAAATACAATACAACATAATGTTAATCTATGGTTTCCTCAGTCAATATGTGGCCTGGAGGAATCCATTTCTACTTAAGTTTGATATCTGCACATTGCCTCTAAAATATTTTTTAAATACAATTACTTGTTGGAGAAACTATTATCTTTGCTTAATCTTTCACCTCATTAGTCATAGAACCTAGATAAAATAGAATAAGTAAAAAGGAAAGGGAAGGGAAAGAAAAATATAACTCCTCCTAGTTGGAGGCAATGTGACTTAATGCCTACAATACTAAATTTGGAGTCCAGACCTGGATTCAGATCTTACCTACAATATTTACTAGCTGTGTTAGACAATTCATTTCAACTCTCTAGCCTCAGTTTCCTCAGCTGTAAAATGGAGATAATATGTACAGTACCTACCTCCCAGGGCTGCTGTGAGGCTCAAATGAGATAATGTATGGAAAACACTTGGCAGAAATTAAAGCACTATATAAATATTAATTGTTATTATTATTATTCACCTTTGAAGACAGTCCAATACTGAAGCAAGGCTACCAGGCTCCATATTTCCACTGGCCTCATTAGCAAACTATTCTAACTTACTGGCTAGTTAGGAAAAAATAACAAGGGGCACAGGAATGCAAGGAGATGACTATGCTGGGCACGCTCCCTGCTCTAGGGTTCTCAGGACCAAGCACAGATTTGCCGGGCCAGGTGCTACAAGTGTCAACACATCAGTACAGAAAGATGGGAAGCAGGGGAGTTTTTGAACCTAACAAAGTCTAACAAACTATAATAAGCCTTGTGCAGGAAGGTGGAGAAAGGACTGAGGTGGCCCCCATGCATCCTTTACCATGTGGTGACTCACACAGGAGAAGGCAATGAATATTCTTTACCTCTTCCAGTTTGCTGAATTCCTTACAGAGTTCTGCTTTACGAGTGGTGCAGTCTTTCCCGTTTTGTACTGCTGTAAGAATATCCTTAGACAAAGGTGGTATCTAGAAAGAAAACAGAAATTCTTAATATATTAGTTTAAAGATAACTCTATTTTCCTTCTTCATCTAAAACAACAGTGGAGCCTTCTTAGGTCAATATTTTAAAGAAGCTATTAATTATTTGTTTGTGTATTTATAATGAGGCAGTTAGGTAGGTCACTGTATATAGACTACTGGGCCTGGAGTCATGAAGACCTGAGTTCAAATTCAACCTCAGACACTTAGACTAGCTCTATGACTCTGGGCAAGTCACTTAACCTCTGTTTGCCCCAGTTTCCTCATCTGTAAAATGGAGATAATAACAGCACCCACCTCCATGTGTTGTTGTGAAGCTCAAATGAGATAATAATTGAAAAGCACTTAGCATAGTACCTGGCACATAGCAGGTTCTACATAAATGTTAGCTATTATTATTGTCAGTCTGAGTAGTCCCTGAGTACTAAGGCCCTCCACTGACAAAAGGACACAGCCCCTCACAAGCATGAAGAGACAGTCTTCACAATTTGTTGTGGCCAAAATATGTGATCACCTGGCAGGCTCACTGTCTGATGATGAGCCTCCAATCTTAGGTCAGTCCTGGTATGACTGATGGACTGTCATTGGGGCCATATCCAGGCACAGCAAGACTTGCCAGTTTGCTCCTCTGAAGTAGGTAAACTAGGGTCACCTCTGCTGTGACTAGACACTAGAGAAGATATTCAGTTTTACTCTTGAACACTGAATTTATGACATTACACTTATTTTATAGGCTTTCCAAAGTATTATTCATCCCTATGCTCCAGGAGATATAAGCTTATTTTATCAGTATTAGGGGGCGGGGGCAGACTTTAAAAGGGTGTTGTACATAACTCCGTACATAACTGATTTTCTTATAATCACAGTCTTTATAATCATAAGGAATCGAGTTTTCATTTCTAGTCAAATTAAGCAGTCAATTGCCTTGCTACTTTTTCTCCCTTTCTCTCCAAGATCTCTCTCACAAGCCACACGGTTTTATACTATTACCTAGTATTCCAATTTTTCCACATTTTCTCCATTTACCATTTACCTTTTCTGTCACATTAGCCAATCTGAAAGATGTGAGGTGGTATCTCAGAGTTGTTTTGATTTGCATTTCTCTAAACAATAGTGATTTAGAGCATTTTTTCATGTGACTATAGATAGTTTTAATTTCTTCAGCTGAAAACTGCCTGATTATATCCTTTGACCACTTATCACTTGGGGAATGACTTGTATTTGTATTAGTTTGACTCAGTTCTCTACATATTTTAGAAATGAGGTCTTTATCAGAAACAACGGCTGCAAAAATTGTTTCCTAGCTTTCTGCTTTCCTTCAGATCTTAGTTGCATTGGTTTTGTTTGTGCAAAGACCTCTGAATTTAATGTAATCAAAATTATCCATTTTGCATTTCATAATGTTCTCTACTTCTTGCTTAGTCATAAATTCTTCCATTCTTGATAGATGTAAATTATTCCTTGTTCTACTAATTTACGGTAGTACCCTTTACGTCTAAATCATGTACCCATTTCAACCTTATCATGGTATACAGTGTGAGATGTTGGTCTTAGTCTGTTGACTAGTTTCTGCCATACTATTTTCCAGTTTTCCCAGCAGCTTTTGTCAAAAACTAAGTTCTTAATCCTAGAAGCTGGAGTTTGGGTTTTCTCAAATAGTAGATTACTATAGTCATTTATTACTGTATCTTGTGTACCTAGCCTATTTCACTGATCCACCAGTCTTTTTCTTAGCAGTACCAAATGATTCTGATGACTGCTGCTTTATAATATAGTTTTAGATACGGTACAGCTAAGCTACTTTCCTTTGCTATTTTTTTTTTTTGGTCATTAATTCCCTTGATATTCTTGATCTTTTATTTTTCCAGATGAATTTTATTATTTTTTTCTAGTTCTATAAAACAATTTTTGGTAGTTTGATTGGTATGGCATTGAATAAGTAAATTAATTTAGGTAGAATCATCATTTTTATTACATTAGCTTAGCCCACCACGAGGAATTGATATTTTTCCAATTGTTTAGATCTGATTTTATTTGTGTGAAAAGTGTTTTGCAATTGTGTTCATATAGTTCCTGGGTTTGTCTTGGCAGGTAGACTCCCAAATACTTTATATTATCTACAATTATTTTAAATGGAATTTCTCTTTTTATCTCTTGCTGCTGGGATTTGTTAGTAATATATAGAAATGTTGATGATTTATGAGTTTATTTTACATCATGCAACTTTGCTAAAGTTATTAATTATTTCAAGTAGTTTTTCAGTTGATTCTCTAAGTATACCATCATATCATCTGCAAAGAGTGACAGTTTTGTTTCCTCATTGCGTATTCTAATTTCTTCAATTTCTTTTTCTTTTCTTACTGCTAAAATTAACATTTCTAGTACAATATTGAATAATAGTGGTGATAGGGACAGCTAGGTAGAGCAGTGGACAGAGCACCAGCATTGGAGTCAGGAAGACCCGAGTTCAAATCCGGCCTCAGACACTTAACACTTACTAGCTGTGTGACCCTGGGTAAGTCACTTAACCCTGATTGCCTCATCCAAAAAAAAAAAAAGAAAGAAAGATATATTAAAAAAAAATAGTGGTGATAATGGGCATCCTTGTTTCACTCCTGATCTTACTGGGAAAGCTTCTAACTTATCCCTATTACATATGCTTGATAATGGTTTTTAGATAGATACTACTTATCATTTTAAGGAAAACTCCATTTATTCCTATGCTCTCTAGTGTTTTTAATAAGAATGAGTGCTAAAAAGCTTTTTCTGCATTTATTGAGATAATCAAATGATTTCTGTTATTAGTTTTGTTATTGATATGGTCAAGGATGCTGATAGTTTTCCTAATATTGAACCAACCCTGCATTCCTGGTAAAAATCCCTCCCTGGACATAGCATATTATCCTGGTGATAAATTGCTGCAATCTCTTTGCTGATATTTTAAAATTTTTTCATCAGTATTCATTAGGGAAACTGGTGTATAATTTTCTTTCTGTTTTAGCTCTTCCTGGTTTAGGTATCAGCACCATATTTGTGTCATAAAAAGAATCTGGTAGGACTCCTTTGCCTATTTTTCCAAATATTTTATACAGTATTAGAATTACTTATTCTTTAAATTTTGGTAGAATTCACTTGTAAATCCATCTGACCCTGGAGATTTTTTCTTAGGGAGTTCATTGATGACTTGTTCAATTCATTTTTCTAAAAAAAAAATTTTTAAATATTTTATTTACTTTTCTGTTCATCTGGGCAATTCACATTTTTGTAAATATTTTATAAATAATTCTTAGGGGTATTCAGGTATTGTCCCTAAGTACTAGAAATGCCAGGGCCATGCAAGCCCCCTTCTAGCTTATAATTGATGTGGGAGTTACTTAGAGGTTTCAACAAGAAAAATCAAGAATCAGAGAAAAAATGAGCCTGAAACCACATATGGGGCCTACATGGCAATGAGCCTGAAATGGATGTCACATAATAACACAGCCTTAGGCACTGCTCATAACTATAAAGCATGTCCAATAGCGTGGCATGGGAGAAGAGCATTGGACTTAAGAGTCAGGTAGACTGGGATTCAGATTCCTCTTAGATATTTGCTAGTTACGTCACCCTCAGAGAACACTGAGCCTCAACTTCCCTATCTCTAAAATGAGAATGGTAATTCCTACCTCATGGGCTCGATGGGAGGATCAAATGAGAATGTTTATGAAAGGTTCCAGGTAACCTTAAAGACTAAACAAATGTTACTGTCACCATTATCACTGTTGTTGTTGTTACCTATTTTGCTAGAAAAGTTCTGAGACAAATGCTTAAAAAAATTTTGTAAATATATTTTATAAATATTAGATCATCAGATTTATTGGCATACAGTTGGGCAAAATAACTCCTAATTATTTTTTTAATTTCCTCTACATTAGTGAATTCACCCTTTTCATTTTTGATACTGGTAATTTGGTTTTCTTCTTTCTTTTTTTAATCAAATTAACCAAAGGTTTATCTTTTTTTTTTTTCATAAAACCAGCTCTTAGTTTGATTTATTAGTTCAATTGTTTTCTTACTTCCAATTTTAATTTAATCTCTCAATTTAATCTCTCCTTTGATTTTCAGGATTTCCAATTTGGTTTTTAATTATGGATTTTTAGTTTGTTCTTTTTCTAGCTTTTTTAGTTGCATGCCCAATTCATTGATCTCTTCTTTATTTTATTCATGCAAGCATTAAGAGATATAAAATAGACTGTCCTAAAAGTATTCCCAAATGCTGAGCAACAGAAATAAAACCTGAGGCTGCTATCTGCAAAGAGTGACCACATAACAGTTAATGATTTCTTACCTTCAGTAATAATGGTCATAATACCAAAAATGAAACCAATTTCCATACTAGCTACTATTCAGAATAATATTCAATATATTCCTCTTCTTCTTCCTCAACAGTGACAGGGAAGGAGAGTAACAGGTATTTTTAAATAAAAGTAAATACTGTCATTGATGTGGCTCAAAAAATAGAAAAAGTAAATTCATATGGAAAGAATAGATTGGGAGAGGATTTTGGGAAGATAGCAGAGTAGGTCAGAGAATTCCAAGCTCTCCATATTTTCCCCATAACCAAGACAAAATAGTGCCTCAGGCATTTTTACTAGAGCAGTAAAAACAAACAAAAGTTGGGGCAGAACAGTGGTCCTCCTGGGACAATCAGAAGAAAAATCACAAATCAAAAAAAAACAAGATTTGGTCTTTGTGAAGTATAAACACCTCCCGGTTAGTTCTGCTGAAACAGCAAGCAGGGAGCCCTGGGGCTAGCTGGGTTGGGAGGTAACCTTGTCCCAAGCCACAGACATTTTCACATCCTGGACAGTGTGGGGAGTTGGCATCTGAGAGGGAGAAGATTGAGGGAACCTCGCTGGTAAGGGATGCCAGACCCAGCTGTGCAGCTGAGATGCAGCCCTGGGTGAGAAAGAACCAGCACATGCCTCGTGATTGCAGAAGCAGGGAGG